CACCCGTCACACACTGCACCCAACCCCTTTGGCCCCTCCCACAAGTGGAGAGCCCATAGGAAGGGGGACCCACGTTTCCTCTTCGGGAGGTGCCCGGCCGGGCTCCATGGATGACAGCCCGGCCACCAGGCGCTCACCAACGTGCCCCACCTCCAGGCCTGACTCCGGGGGGTGACCCATGTCCGGGCGAGGGAACATGGTTTCCATTTATGGTATTCATCAAAAGAGGTTTTTGGGCTGCTCATTGTCTGATCCCTCACCAAACGGTTTATTTATGTATTTTATTTTATTATTTTTATGTAAACAAAGGCATTTTATCATTCATCAAATGCCGTGATTGGTTAAATCCTGTTCTTTCATTTGATTTTAAAACTGGTTTAAGAAACCCGAGCAAGTTACATTTGTTAGATTTGTTTAATTGATTCAAAGAAAAAGATAATTAAATGTTTGAAGTTAGCTAATTATGTCTACTGGTTTTACTAAACTGAGTGGTTTAACTGGAACATGTTGAGCTGAATAATGAATTCCATACAGCTCAATGATATTGAATGAACTGAACTTGCTTGACTAATTTCTATTAGTGCCATGGAAGGAGGTTAGTTTTGGACCCAACTGCAGGTGAAAGATCCGTTGACACAGCATCCTCAGGCCAAACTCAGAGGAACGCTGGTCCTGGAGGGCCACTATCCTGCATTTTTTTGTTGTTTCCCAACACGTGTTGTTTTTCCCTGTTCCAACACACTTGTTTTTAATCAGCAGGTCTAACGAACTGAACAGGTGATTCAACCATTGGACCAGGAGTGTTGGAGCAGGGAAACAACTAAAACATGAAGGTTTTCAGCCCTCGAGGACCATGGCTCTCCACCCTGCTTAACTGAAGCACGCAGAAATCTAGAAACACACGAGACTGGTGGAGGTTAACGGGGAGATGCTGGGAGGACTGACAGCTTAACAAAAGGATCCGACACATAAAGAGTTAACTGGGGAGCTTAAAACTGAAGGAGGTGATTACAAACATGCAACAGGCAATCTGAATGGACTGAGAACAGGTGTGCATGATTAAGGGGGGACTCCAAACAGAAGAGGCACAGAACCTGACACTTAGCATCTTTTAAATTTAAGTTAACAACATTCAGTTATAGGAACCTAAACTGGGTTTAGTGAACTCAGTCTGATCATCTTTACTTCAATTATGTTAAAAATGAGTGCATTCAACAACGTGTGCGTGTCTGTTTTTATAAGACGCAGGGGAGGAGCTGTGGTGCTCAGGTTGTTTCTTAAAGTTTTCAGAGAAAATAACAGAGCACCATGTTTAAACACAAACATGTTATTTTAGTTATTCATCTGTGAGTTTTAGATCCTTGAACTCTGGTTTCTGAGCTGATGCAGATGCGTCATGTGTCAGATCGTTCTGACTTCCTGACGTCACCATCAGACTGACCACTGAAGCTGGATTTTCTGTTTCCGACCCGGAGTGGGCGGATGTAGACCACGAGTCCAAACGCGCAAAAGGTCAGCTCAGCGGTTCGGGACTCGGTCGTTTATGCTCCACCGTCCAGAACCAGCAACATAACAAAGATTAACACCATAACCATCACGGTGAAATACAGCCCTAACCATCTAAGCTCCGGTTTCTACCTCACTGCTCCCGGGAGGAAAGAAGCCGCTCGCGCGCCCTGGTGCCATTTATTGTCCTGGCGCACAAAGTTAGACTATTGAAGAAGTTCAGTTCCCCATAACAAACATAAGTTAGTATCTGAAGGGGTCTGCGAGGACAAAGGGCCAGTGCCTTCGCACCATATGCTTAATGGCTACAGCCGTCCGGTCTTTATTTGAGGCTAAAAGTGGTCCTTTAAAAGTTGGAAAGGCTCTTTTATGTGACTTAGACGGAGCACGTGCGCACAAAACCAGGAGCGCGCGTCGCCATTGACTCACCCTTTTCTTTTTTTCTTTCTTTCAGGAGTCTGGAGCGGCCACCGTCATCGCCTGTTTCTCTCAAACATACGCTTTTCATCTACACGCTTTGTTCTCCGTGAAAGTAATGCTGCGAATCAAAGAGATGACAATATTTTCCATCAGCTTGCAGAGCCAGGACAAGGGCCCTCGAGCTCTGGCAAAAATCAGGGCTTGTTATTCATCCTGTCACTCTGCACCTGTGGTCCCGCATTCAAAGTATACAAACATGTCCCTATTAACATTAATTATTCACAAACAACACAAAGGCTGAAACAGAGCAGGTTGAAGTCTGTTTATGGCTCCTAAATGTTTTATTCCTCTGAAGATGTGCCCGTAGCTGTTCCATGACCGAGGGCCCGGCCCCTTTCAGTCTTGAGTAGCCCTACAGCACGGACTTTACAATTGCTGCATCTGCTTAAACTACCGGATGAAAATATGACACAAAACAGAGCTAAGAAAGGATTTGTTACATGCTGGTACAAGTGATCAGTGCCGGAAACAATGGCGCGTGGAGACGGGAACCGTATGGTTCCGGGGGCACTCGGGACAGTTTACTTGTTGTAAAGAAAGCACCAGGTGATGACAAGTAAATAGCTTTTCCCGGGAAGAGAACACACCCAACCCACCTCCTCTTTGTCTTTGAAAAATAGAAGACGTAAATTAAATTGGCTTATCAAGGCGCAGCGAGAGGAGCTCGCTCCTAATTGGCTGCTGGCGCACAAAAACAGAGACACGTCGGCCAGTCTGGCTCGCGCTGCGCTTTCAGGCCGGTGTCACGTCATTGAAAATGTTTTTGTTATTGCAAAATGTCATGCTTTACAGCGGCCATATTGTGTTCTGGACAAAAGCTGATGGGACATTAAAGACGAAGAACTCTGTGCCAAATCCATCTCGAAGACACTCCAAGAGCCGCTCTGGCTCTCGGGCAGCTGCTGCTCAGGGACCGGGCCACCAAAGAAAAAGAGACAAAGTTTCAGCCACCAGGTGCTTCTCGGGGAAAGATCCCTGCAACAGGACAAGGAGGCGCTCGTAAAGACGCGTTTAGACCGGGACAGTGACAAGAAGAGCGCGTGATGGTGTTTTAATTTTGGGGTGGGAGGGGTCCCTCTTGGCTCCGACTGTGCTGGGGCTCTTGCGTCCCTATGCCAATTGCACCTGGGTGGTGGAGTCGGGGTCATGAGGTCAGAACGACACTGCGTATCGTATGAGACAAGAAGTGATGCTGTAGTTCGGGTCCTCTCGATGCGTAAAACAGACGCGTCTTTGCGCGTGACAGTGTTCATTTCCATGCCCACTGACGAGTTAGAGGGTGCGCGTGCGTAAAGAAGCAGCTTCAGTCTCTTGCGTTTTTATGAAGACGTGAGTTTCTTTTTAACATGATTCAAAAACCAGAAAGCCGGCGAACCCGTCAAACCATCAGGCTCCCCGGTACCAGCTCAGAGGCTAGAGATCTGCGTGTCTGCATCAGGGGTCAGAGGTGAGCCCGGCACCAGGAGCTGGACTCGGGTTACCACGTGGTTTGTGTTTGCGTTAAGACCATGATGAGGACTGTTAGCCATCCTGTCAGGAGAGACTGGGAAGGCAGGTGGTGTCAGCGTTCAAATGGTGACTTTTATGAATGTGTGTGTGTGTGTGTGTGTGTGTGTGTGTGTGTGTGTGTGTGTGTGTGTGTGTGTGTGTGTGTGTGTGTGTGTGTGTGTGTGTGTGTGTGTACGCGCGCGTCTGATTCAGCGTTGATTCTTTTTAACCAAGTGACTGTTTGGCCCAAACGGTCCCTCTCTGCGCGCTACGGAGTGAAATAAAACCTGTCAGACAGTAAAATGTTGGCGTCCTTTTAAGGCCTGCCAGACCCGCACCCGTAGCGGAGGGACAGCGGCCTGTCCTTCCGCTTGGCTGCGACCAGACCAAGAGCTGCTGAGAGGCGTTTGGCGCACAGCGCACTAAAAGCTTCAAATGCACAAAGAGACCACAAAGCTACTAGTGTTTTACCCCCCCACCCACCACCACCCCCCCCCCCCCCCCCCCCCCCCCAACCGGAGCCGGGCCCCGTCACACACATGAAGCGGAGACTGGACTTTCTAACAGGATTACATGCTGGGACTGAGACGGGACGATGTGGACAATCAGATGAAAGACCGAGACATAAAGAACGCTGTCAACGTGTCCAACATGACCATCGCGCAACATCAGCTTGCGTTTAAATGTTCAGTGATCCACGCGCTCAATGTTTAGGTGCGGTAAAATGAGCTGGTTCGGTGCCGCATCAGCGGATATCCCATCACGTCAGTTTTACGCTGCATTGGGATCTGCAGTTAGAAAAGGGGGAGAAAAAACCCTTTTCGCACATAAGTAACGAAAAAGGGCACTTTTGGCGTCAGGGGTCTGAGGCGGAGGGTGGCTGACCAAGCGTTGGTTTTTGACGCGCTGGGAGTGAGAATGTGTTGGTTTATGGAGCTGTAACGGAACCCGAACATGACCAGGTTCTGTTCTGCCCGCGCGGAGACCGGAGACGCATGCCGAGGGAAGTCAGAGGCTCGGGAAAATGTTTCCCGGCAGCACCTGGCAGCATATCCGCATTCAGTAGCTCTGCTGCGTCCCGTCCGGACCAAAGACCCTCAGCTGCTGCGCCTCATTAGCATGTCATTAACATATTTATGTCCCCAAAACCGGAGCGCTTCTGTCCGTCCCCCCTCTTCTGGTGGTCCACCCTGACCCACCTGACCCCACAGACCGCTGCGTCCTGATGGAGGAGAGATCCTAATCATCTGAGAGGTTTTACCCGGATGGTTTGGTTCAAGCTCACGCGCTCGCTAGTTATAAACTCCATAAAACTACATTTAAATAAATGAATGAAATATGGATAAAATAAAAAGGGTTTTCGATGGACTTCCTTGAGTGACGTCTTTCTTTTATCGGCAAAGCTGAACAAAGGTGGGCCTAAATTTGCACGTGCATGAGCAGTACGCGCGAGAGTCGTTGTGTGTGTTTGTTGAAACGAAAACTCTTAAAAACATAAAAAATATGCGACCTGATAAACAAATATGTGATTTCTGCTCAGAATCTTTTATTAGCATATCGAACAAAAACAAATTGTTTTCTTGTGAGTTAAATTAATTAAATATGAAGGCGCGTGAACAGATAAATAGCTGATTGCGTTACAAAAATAAAGTTATCAACATGATAAATTCCTCTCCGGCGCCGAGGGCCGCGCGGCGCGCCCCCGTTCCGGTTTCAGCCCATTAACATAATGAGTTCACAGCCAGAACCGGACCAGCGGGTTCGGATGCTTTACGCCAGCAGGCTGAATGGAGGCTCGTTTTCAATGTCTTTGAGGCCCGTCTTGCTGTGGAGCTTCCGGGGGTCTTCCGGAGTCCAGACCTTTGCTGTTCGGATGATGTTCTGCTCCCGGAGCTGCTTCTCATCGGACCAGGACAGAGAGTGGCCCGCCAGCGGGGGGAGACCGTAGTCCGGGTCACTGGGAGAGGGCGACCCTTGGGTGAGAGAGAAGAACCGGAACATAAATTTTTGTGCTGTTCAGATCAGAACTGGACTCAGCGGATGGACAAACTAAACACACAGAACTTGTTTAGCACTCACTTGTTCCTCGGTGGCAGATGAGGACCTTCTTTGGCTGCGCGTGCGTCTCGTTGTTTGAGTTCCTGATTGGCAGATCAGACTGTACAAGCTCCGCCAGGAAGTTGATGTATCCGATCGCGAGCCGGAGCGTGTCCACCTTGGACAGCCTCTTCTCGTAAGGCAGGGTGGGGATGTGGGATCGGAGCCCCTCGAACGCGTCGTTGATGGACTGCATCCTTCTGCGCTCCCGGACGTTCGCAGCTTGCCGCAGCTGCTGGAGCTCTACTTCAGAGCGCATGCGCCTCCTTCGCTTCAGCAGTGACCCGGCGAACCGTCCCATCCGCGGGGACAGGTCAGGGGTGTCCGCGCAGCCGTAGGAAAAAGTGGAGGAAGAGGAGGAGAAGGATAAGTTTCCGATGTCCAAGTCTCCTTCCCGTGACGCCGCTCTACCGCCGCCATCCTTGCTGTAATATTCTTGGAGGTGAGTGCTGAGGAAGTCCACGTCCTCATCAAAAAAGTCTTCAGTGTCCAACTGTTCGTCTCTGGAGGACTGGTCAGTGAAAAACTCATCATCGTCAAAATATGGAGGGGAGGAGAGAGAGTCCAGCGCGGAGAACGGGTCCAGCATGGAGTCCATGATCCTGGACGGCTCTAAGCGGGATCAGCAGCAGCAGCAACCCACCTGGACCACAAGTACACCTTCAAAGTTTCAGTGGAACAACGGGCACGCGAGGCGGTTTTATAACGACATCCAAGCGTGCCGCTTGCTGATAGAGCCAGCCAATCACAGCTTTGTCCGTGTGGCGCACCGAGGCCCGAAACCACGCCCACTTCCCCACACTCAGACGCTGAGACCCACAGATGGAGCGGAACCTGGGTAAGAAATGACCCAAACAACTCAGCTGCTCTTAAAGGTTCTGCTGCTGAAAACATGGTTCTGGTTCCGACAGACCCACCAGGTTTCGGTCAGTGTGGGAAATAATAACAATAATAACAACAACAATAATAATAATAATAATAATAATAATAATAATAATAAATCGCTATTAATAATAATAAAAATAAATAACTATTATTATGAATATAATAATAATAATACTAAATCTCTATTAATAATAATAATAATAAAAATACTAAATCGCTATTAATAATAATAATAATAATAATAATAATAATAATAATTATTATTATTATTATTATTATTATTATTATTATAAATCACAGAATTGCCATTTTACATTTTCTCTTCCGTTAGACCGTACATTATCATTCATCAACATATAAAATAATAACAACAACAAAAACATACAAATTAGATAGATAATCTTTATTGACAGACTCTTAGGTCCAGATAAAATATATATTTAACAACATATCATCAAAAAATAAACAATTAATGAAACAATATAGATGAATAGAAATAAAAAGATAACAGCATAAAATTGAATAAAAATCTAAATGTAATTTAAAAACTTTACTATAAACTGTTCCACACAAGGACAAACACTTCAACCAGTGTTTATACTGGACAAATAGCGACAACTGCTCACAGCAGGATCAGTGATTGCTAAAATGATACTGTTGGCAGAGCTATCCAGTCGGCCTATAAAAGTGAATAAAAGTTTTCTTTAAAGTGCTTTAAAAGTACAAATGCCTGCTGTTACAAACATCTGACTGGCACTGCCCCCTCTGTGTATTTTAAGTATGATTCTTAATGCATCATTGTATGCAACTTGCAGCTTAATAATTAAAACTGAAACTAAAACAGCCTATTCTTTATCATTATTAGTTTTTCCCCTATTGAAACCGGTTTAAGCTGGAATGACGCGTTTCTCTGATTACGACCCTGATTTTGTGACTTCTGAACTAAACGGGCGTGCCATTAGCTGAAAAGTTTACAATAAAATAAAAACTGTTTTAAATTTGCTTCTGCTCTGAGCTCTATATCCTTCTGTTCGGATGCAGGGTTAGTCCGAGCTGAAGTCTCTTTGGTCCTGTACGGTATCCAAAGTTCACGGGGACGGACAGAAGGCCCGTTAACGAGAGCGGACCCATAAGTATTGGGTTCGGGGCTGTCCGCTTCGTCATTTATTCTGTAGTAAGTAGGCTATAAAACCACCAGCGGAGAGCTCCGCACTGCTTGCGCCAGACTGTGCGGGTTGCATTGGAGGATTTGGTTAACAAATAATAGCGCAGTGGTCGGCCCGGGGACGCGCGCCTCATTGACACCTCACGCGACAAATTAAAGGAGGCTGTTTTACCGTTTAAAGACTGCCCACTGATATGGAAGTACACGTCTATTCAGCGCTTCAGTCAAAGGAGTCATTTTGTTCTGCGCATGAAAACAGGCCTTCTACAGGCTGCGTGCGCGCGCACAGCGTGCGTGTGAATGCCGGTGGTGCTGCAGGAGGCCCTGGTCGTGGGAAGAAGACCACTTGTATCCCTTTGGCCTCTCAGCAACACGTCGGGTTACAAATGAAGTGTGTTTGTCTAACGCGTCAGCTGAAACCCCGCTCCTGGACGGGTGGCGGAACCAGGACCTGAACTGGATCAGCATACGGTTCTGGTGTGGACACCAGAAAGCGCCATCCTCACTCACCTGCGAGAGAAACGTCTAATAACAAAAAGCACTGCAGCCAGTAACAAACGCACACAGTCGCGCGCGCATTAGGTTCCATAGGCTCTTTTAGACCCCGCGGGAGAGGCAGCCCTTCCCTGCCTTGCCCCAGAGCACGTGATAATTCGAACCGTGCAGGTCTTTAACGCGCCGTGACGCGTACTCTGCCGCCTCATTCATGAACGCGCTGTTACTTTGAACAGACCGACCTGCCCGAGCGAACAAGTGTTCGTGTTCCCATGCACCCTCCGCTCTGCAGCGTGCAGCCGTCTGGGGCCGTTCAAAACCTCAAAACCAACCTCGCCTTGCTGGGGTCGAGGGGGCGCACGCACGCACGCGCCCACGCACGCATTATAAAAACAACAAGCTGCATGCATGCCGCTATAAGTCAGGTTCAGAGCGGTCCGGTACCGGTACCGTTAGGGTTCATTCAACAAAAACAGGTCATGTCTGGATGAAAGAACGAAAAAAAAGAATGAATGAATAAATAAATGAACGAATGACTGAATGGTCTTCATGTCTTTGCAAACAAACAAGCGCGCGCGCGCGCGCACACACACACACACACACACACACACACACACACACACACACACACACACACACACACACAGATCATTCTAACCTTGATAAGACAAAGTGTAAATGTGTGTTTAGCTGAGATCAGGCCAGCTTTATCTAGAGGAACTCTCACAAACAAGATGTGTGTGTGGTGGTGGTGGTGGTGGTGGTGTGTGTGTGTGTGTGTGTGTGTGTGGGGGGGGGGGGGGGCTCGGAAGGTAATGTGAGTTTCACAAAAGAAAAGACACTTTAATTCATACCTTTCAGTGCTGTGCTACCCCAGTGCCTTTGAGCATGCTATTTGTTTGACTCTGGAAACATTGAAAGTGAAGCATGAGGAATTACAGCTGGAGTTAATCCCTCCACACAATGATTCAGTGTAATCCCTGTAATTTGTGGGGATTATCCGTCTGGATGATTATCACAAATTAAAAGGATTTACTCCACCGCCACATAACAAGTTGGATCTAGCACATCACTCATCTGATGAAGGCCACGGCGTTTAGTTGCTTTAACGTGTCACTTTAGGGTTTTATGGTAGAAAGCTTCTGGTTACATGTGAGAGGGACCACATCCGTACCTCGGTGGGCAATCAGCAGCCTATAAAGCACAACACCTGAAGAGCCAGAAACATGAGGTCAACTGAGTCTTTGAGTTTTTACATCCATCCATCCATCCATCCATCCACCCACCCACCCCTCATCCATCTGTTCATCCATCCATCCATTCTCCACATTCATTCATCATCCATCCATCCATTCACTCATCCGTCTGTTCATCTATCCATCCATCCATCCATCCATCCACTCGTCTATCTACCCACCCATCGCCCAACCTACTCATTCATCCATTCATTCATCCATTAATCCTCCATATCCATCCATCCATCTTCTCAACCACTCATCCATCCACCCATCCTCCCAACCACTCATCCATCCATCCATCCATCCATCCATCCATCCATCCATCCATCCATCCATCCATCCATCGTACACATTCATCCATTATCCATTATCCATTATCCATCCATCCATCCATCCATCCATCCATCCATCCATCCATCCATCCATCCATCCATCGTACACATTCATCCATTATCCATTATCCATCCATCCATCCATCCATCCATCCATCCATCTTCATCCACTTATCCAGCCAGTCTCTGGCCAGTCGTGAGACATAATCTCTCCAGCGTGTCCTAGGACTCCTTTTAGGTCTTCTCCCAGTTGGACGTACCTGGGAAACCTCAGCTGGGAACATTCTGTAGATCCACCTCAACTGGCTCCTGTTTACGTGGAGGAGCAGCAGGTCTACTCCGAGTCCTTCCCAGATAGCCATGCTTCTCACCCTATCTCTAAAGAGGAGCCCAGCTACTGTGTGGACAAAACTAATTTTTGCCGCTTGTATCTGCAATCTCGTTCTTTCGTTCACTACTCTTTCAGTTTTGTGTTATTTAAATTTTTGTTAATTATCAAAAACAATAAAGACACAGCAGCCATAGCCTTTTGAACACCTAAACTCACCAATAACGTGTCCAATGCCTGCAGTCCTAGTTAACAACAGGATGTGTTTGTTTCACCAGTTTGTTGTTCCTCCTAGACTCTACGTTGCTTCCAGCATGGATTTTACTTTATAAATGAACTTTATTTCAGAGCCTCTTAAAGAAACTAAACGCATAAACCACCAGGCTGCAGGGATGATAGCTGTGTATTTCAGAAGCTCTGTTCATGCAGGTGTTTTCACAATCTGAGTCTTGAAAAAAAATCTAGCAACTCCATGACATCTGCAGCCTTCATCTTCCTCTGCTTATCTGGGTCCGAGTCACAGAGTCAGCATCCCAACTAGGGAGCTCCAGACCGTCCTCTCCACAGCCACCTCCACCAGCTCCTCCGGCAGGACCCTAAGGCGTTCCCGGACCAGATTGGAGATGTAACCTCTCCAACGTGTCCTGGGTCGACCCGGGGGCCTCCTGCCGGCAGGACATGCCCGAAACACCTCCCCAGGGACGCATCCAGGGGGCATCCTGACCAGATGCCCAAACCACCTCAACTGACTCCTTTCGATCCGGAGGAGCAGCGTTTCTACGCCGAGTCCCTCCCGAATGTCCGAGCTCCTCACCCTATCTCTAAGGCTGAGCCCGGCCACCCTACAGAGGAAACTCATTTTGGCCGCTTGTATCCGCGATCTCGTTCTTTCGGTCATTACCCAAAGCTCATGACCATAGGTGAGGATTGGGACGTAGATCGACCGGTAAATCGAGAGCCTGGCTTTCTGGCTCAGCTCCCTCTTCACCACGACAGATCGGCTCAGCGTCCGCATCACTGCAGACGCCAAACCAATCCGCCTGTCGATCTCACGGTCCCTCCTACCCTCACTCGTGAACAAGACCCGAGATACTTAAACTCCTCCACTTGAGGTAGAACCTCTCCTCCGACCCCGAGTTCGCAAGCCACCCTTTT